AGGTAAAGATATCGGTATTCTATAGTGAGTCTGTCCTTCCTTTGCATTTACCTCGGTTTATCTTTACTTTGTATTTTCTCTTTCCCAACTGTTTTGGAGAGAGAAGGAAGACAATCTAGCGTTTACTATTTGAATTAGGACTACAAGATCAAAGTTCTGTATTTTTGCCACAAACACTTCAGAACATTTAAGGGCTTTTTGGAACTTGATCTTGCTTAAATTAAATTAGAGGTCCTCCTACATATTTCAGTGAAAGGGGTATTGATCTTTTTATCTGCTTACTGCTAGCTACAGCACAGGGATAATACTGCTTCTTTTCCACATCTGAGCAGTGACTGTGAATGATTAAATGTTGGGATGAAAATCCATACATTTAAAAAAAGAAGACATTTAAAATACAGTGACTTTACAGCTTTACTAGCTCTGTATATCAAGATTCCATCATAGGTAATGCAATAACAAGGCAATATTAGAAGAATTTGTAGTACAGCATTATATTTTCAGTTGCAATGACCTATTAATGTTTCCTGTTTAAAAAAAACATCTGATATAGAATCATAGAATCATAGAATGGTTTGGGTTGGAAGGGACCTCAAAGATCATCTAGTTCCAACCCCCCTGCCGCGGGCAAGGACACCCTCCACCACACCATGTTGCCCAAAGCCTCGTCCAACCTGGTCTTAAACACCTCCAGGGATGGGGCATCCACAACCTCTCTGGGCAACCTGTTCCAGTGCCTCACCACTCTCACAGTACAGAATTTCTTTCTAACTTCTCATCTAAATGGACCCTCCTTCAGCTTGAACCCATTACCCCTTGTCCTGTCACTACACTCCCTGACAAACAGTCCCTCACCATCTTTCCTGTAGGTCCCCTTCAGGTACTGGTAAGTCACAATTAGATCTCCCCGGAGCCACCTTTTCTCCAGGCTGAACAACCCCAACTCAGCCTGTCCTCATAGGAGAGGTGCTCCAGCCCTCTGATCAGCTTCATGGCCCTCCTCTGGACTCTCTCCAACAGCTCGATGTCTCTCCTGTACTGGGGCCCCCAGAGCTGGATGCAGTACTCCAGGTGGGGTCTCACCAGAGCAGAGTAGAGGGGAACCACTGAAAATTAAATACGAGCTCCATAGCATATAAAATTATTTTTCTATTTTTAACTTTTCACATCTGAAAGCCATTGTACCTATGGGGCAGGAATTATTGGCTTCCATGTAATTGTAATTGGTGGGAGTTAGACATACTTGAATAATTTTATATATTTCATGTGATAAGGAGCCTTGTAAACAGAAGTGAAATTATGAGACTGTAAGCTGAGGTTTTATTTGTAGGAATAATAAAATCAAAAGCAAATTTGATTTTCCCAACTGAGCCATTCTGTGTTTTCACCAGTTCCCTCATTTTTAATGTTAAGAGCTTTCTTTTCTGCATTATAGAAATGTCACATAATTTACTTGTGCAGGCAAAATGCCTGTGCAGATGTGCTCTAGGTACTTAGTGATGCATGCAGCTGTAAGATTCTGGTTCCACACACAAATGCATCATGTCTTCTGCACAACTGCCTTTTGCAGTGAGAATGTATGGTACTGATAAAAGCAGCCAAGACGGCCTGTGCACCAGTGATATAGCAGGATTGCCAGATGTCTGTGACAAGTTTTGGCAATGAAAATTTCTAATGTAGACATCTTTCAGAATTTTGGCCAAGGGCAAACCCTTACGTAATGGGTTAAGCTGTGAGAATGCAGATTGTAAACCATTAATTCTTGGATCCAAGTGATCAGCAGCATAATGCGGTGTTACATTCTTTGCATTCCTCCCAATATAAAAGCAATAAGAAATGCAAATTCACTGTATCCTCATAGCATGGTACACTATTATGTCCTCACTATTCTGCATGTTGAATCATTTCTCATATCAACCAAGTATCAGAAAGGTAAATTCCTTGGAGTATTCTTTCAAATGACTGCTTTATTTATTTTAGAAGTTATTTGTGAAATCCTAGAAATGTGCTCACAAATGCAAACACAATCATGTTTTTCTTGTTGTTTTCTTCCTGGCTTATCCTCTGACTTGTGCCTAAATTGTAACAGCTTTGGAAATGTTGGCATGAAATAAATAATCTGTCACAGATTTACATGAACCAAGACTCCTTTGGTCATCCTGGCTGGGCAGAAAGGCCTTACAGTGGGCAAAATAACAGCCGCCTTGGCTTCCTGAGACTGGTGTAAAACTAGGATAAATGGCTCTATCATGACATTTCTAGATTGTAACTACGAGGACAGGACCAGAGGGAAGGAGGTGTTTGCATCAGGTGGATTGCCAAAGTGCATTTCAGTACTATTATTCTTCCTTACGTTACTCTTATTCTTTTATGGGGAATGGAAATATAGCCATCATAAAATTGCCTCAACTTCTGTAACAGGTATATGCAGCAAATGAGGATAGTAGAGCTTTACACCCATTGCACACTAATAACTAACTTCTCATGGGAGCTGACTTGCCAATATTTCTCTCATCTTCACTGAAACTGATGCAGACCACAAGCAGAATGGATAGGGATAAAATGCTGCCCAGTAAACACAGGAACAGTATAAATTGTGATTATTCTTTACTGTTCTGGCATGAGATGTGTCCATTTTGGATTGTTTCTGCCTATAATCGATTTGCATTTTTAACCATCAACACCTAAATGGTATATACTACTTACAAGGATTAAGAAGAATAATTTTTAGACAGTAGACAGTTTTAAGCCTCTTAGTATTATTGAGTGTTAAGGAAAACATTTATGCCATAATCATTTGATAAGTACACTAAAGTACGACACTAATTTTAGTGGTGGCTCTGATATGTACTGAATGTCACTAATTCAAAAATTTTTTTTAAAAAAAGATTATGCTCCAAGATTAGCTCCAGCTTTAGAAACCAAGTCTTTTCATATTTACTTTATATGATTTTAGTATTTTTCTCCTGAAGACATTAAAAATGTAGAGCACCTAAAATTCACTAGGATAGCACATAACAAAATGTAATGAAGAAAAGTGAATAAAAACATTAGGAAAATATAAATTTTTAAGGAGAATGCAAATACAAAAATATATTGTATTCACATCAGATGATTTCAAGACATTTTGCAAAGATGTTCCAGTAGCATCAGAGATATGGATAACACAAGTATGTAGGTATCCATAATTTAAAAAAAAAAAAAAAAAGTACTGTCTTGGCCTAGTTTTTTGGTGTGCAGTTTTAGAGGTCTGAAACTTGAGTTATAGATACTGAGTAGCCACAGCTTGGACATCAATGAGAATTGTGTCCATTGCATTATGGATTGACATATAAAACTGTGCACTTGAAAAATCAGTACCCAAAATAAAGGTCCCTTTTAATAATGTGTTTTCAAATTACAATGTACCAATGGACAATGGAAAAAATGGAAATTTCATTTCTGACTTCCACTCTCTAGACATTACTGTTTGCTCATAAATTTGGGAACCATGAACAGGGCTGCCTGTGACAGTATGTTGTCCTCTACATGTGTGTTTTAGAGAGAAAAACATCAGTATGTGCACAAATGCAGGCACGTGAATTTTATATTGAAACATTTAACTCAGTTACTTTTTGTGATGAATTATACCTAAAAGTAACTAAAAGTACTTACCTTGTAGCTTAGATAACTCAGCAGCAGTGTTTCAAAGAGACTTATTAAAGCCACAGAAACCTTAAGTGATAAAATATGTGTATTAATACTTGCTTCTAAAGAATATATGATATTAGGCATTAGAATGAAAAGTAAAAGATAATAAAATCCAGCTTGTCCATGCATCCTCTGAAACCATGTCAGCTAACAGCACTTAGTATGAAACTTAAATATTGTTATTTTTCTGACTAAAGCACAGGCTGTGACTTGAGTCTCATTGCTCTTTTCCAAGTATAACACTCCAGAAAGCCTGCAGCGTGGCCTTTCCGTGGTTTTTAGAGAGCTCCATATACAGTCTGCCAGATTGTTTCTCAAGTTTCAGTTGTCTGTTCCTAAAAGGTACCAAGATCTTTTCACAAGACAGAGAAAGAGAGAGAAGGAAGAAGCTGGAAATAATGGAAGCTAGTCAGCTCTTTGCTTTTCTGTAAATCTGTTATGAATGTGTGGAAAAACAAACACTTATTTTACTGTGTATAATTCAGAAAGTTAAAACCAGCAAGAAACGATGAATCATTGATTTTAATATTTAAATGCAACTGAGTTCAACTTATCAGCCTTCGATTATATGTAGTGTATGTATTACGTAATTTTAAAATATTTAGAGTCAAATATCAAAATAGTAAAAAATTTACTTAAAACTTTATACATGTTAAATAACCACAAAACTTACTTAAATCCTTTGCATCGCAAATATTTGTATTTTAATGTATATTGTGGGAATATTCTATCATGGAGATGTACAAATTACCTGGAGCCTCAAGTCAAACAAGCCTCAGGATTTCTAATTTTAAACTAATGCTCACTACTACTGCAAACTCAGAAGAGTGCACTATTTGTGCTCACAATATCATTATCTAGAATTAAAAAAGGTGCTATGAATTGGAAAAATATTAAAATATGCAATCAAAATATGATATCAGTTTCTCAAAATAAGCATTACTGGTTTATATAAACTCGGGTTGTATCTCAAATAAATATAAAACTTTGCAACTATTGCATATATCCTACTGTGAATGCATGTGTATATACACATGCATACGCATATATATAAATTCCTATGTTTATCAAATAAACTTATTAGAATAAAACTGCAACCATAAGCAAATAAATCTCTCAGTATTTTTTAATTAAATTGAATACAGTAATCTGAATGTCTAGGTCAAAATTTATTCAAACTGTACATACTTTAAGGAATCGAAAGGTATTTTCATCAAAGGAATCTTCCCTTAGTAAAATCTTATCTTACACAGAGGTACAAACCATCGTAATTACATTGTACTAAGCATGGTGCAAGAATATAATGGTATAACCATTCTGGGACTTTATGGAATTCTTACTAGGAAAACACATTTCACAGGGAGAATTCCCACAGCACTGGCCATGAGTTAAAAAAGTGTTCCTAAAACAAGCAGGCTCCAGGACATTGAGGATTGAACCACAAACTTCCGAAGATCTCCAAGACCCACAAAGCACTGATGTAGTGCATCTTTTGTGGCATACTCCTCTAAACATGTAGGCTTCTATATTATGAAGTAACTTCAGCTTTCTAGTGTATTTAACAAGAAAGCCCATGAAGCATGTCAAAATCTAGTCATAAGCAATTACAAAATTTAAACTCATCATTACAGCAGTGACTACTTCACTCAACAGGACTTGATATTTCTAAGAGAAAAGGCCATCTAATTCTCCAATATTTTGTTATAAGCTTTAATACTTTATAAATATATTGTAAAGCCACATAAATTCAAATCAGTTAGCACGGATCACCTTATCTTTGCTTTACACTTTTGTTGTACTTGGTCATCAAGCAGATTTCTTTATTAATATCAACTTTTCCAAGAATCCTTTAACATCACTAAAATGCTATAGATCAATATTGTCTACAGTTATTAAATGGAAATAGATAAATTTGCCATTGACATATTACCTGTAATCCCCATAAAGGCAAGCTTCGATTCACCCAAATAATAGGAGACCTGTTTATTATAATAAGAAAATAAATATAAAATTAATCAAAATCTGGTTAGTGTTTTGAACAAAATCAAGAGAAAATAAATTTGTACATGTGAATGGAAATTAGAGCAGCCTTATTTTTAAAAAAATTCTCAGTAATGAAAATTTTAAATCAGTAGTTATGTACTGAGTATTGACATTGCTTGTATTTCTAATCCAGAGCCAATCATTGAATTCCCATGGGAGTTATCCAACACTCAGTGACAGCAAAATCTTGTATTGGCTTTAGTGGCTGCTAGTTCATCCCCTTTGATTCCAGTAAGCATAAATCAATTTGAGCTTTTGATTCTAGAGATGCAGAGGAATAATTATTTGTGGTAAGAAAAAGAAACCTGACTTTTGTGTGAACTTCTTGCTATCTGTGTAACAATGTAAATGGTATCTAACTCACAATAGCTGTCACATCTGGGAAAAATTTCGTGTTTTCTTAGTAATTACTAAACTCAATGATAATAGGCACTTGATTCAGTACTGCTGGAATCTGGCACATTCAATGGCACAATAGTTTACTGTTCGTCATTTACTGCTAGTCACAATTGTTTTTTAAATAAGGGCATCCATTTTATTTCAGCAATGTATAAGGATTGATGGAATTTGGATCTTACAAGAGCATCCAATCCAGCAGGTCACTTATGTAATCAGAGAAACAATTAAAATATTAAAGGCAGTTTTGAATATTCAGGAACACGGAAGTAATTGCTTGAGAGTTATGGAAACATCACTATTATATGTTAAAAAGTCACCATTCCAGATGGAAATGGATTATTCTTCCTGTTTCCCTCCCCTTCCCACCATTATGTGGACTTTTGGTTTGCTTTTTTGAATTAGAAACTCACCAATCAATTGTTCCAGGTGTGTAGTTTTGATTGGAACAACTCCGGTTTAATTCCTTACTGATAGTTGTCATCCCATCCATCCAAAGTCCATTTTCATTAGCAAATGTACATGGGAATATGATCATAAAAACATATGGGAGGAAAGTAATATTAATTACATTACTAAGTGTTCTATAAAATGCATGCAATAGTTTGAAACCCTAGGTAATAGACATAGACATTTTAAAAAGTAAAATAACTTAGAGAAAGTAGTTCCACATGTGTTCTCAATCTGTAGATAAAGGACTATGACGGATTTCAGGTTACATTTCTTAAAGATTTATTTTCAAACATGTTCCAATTTAAAAACAAAACAACTGACATTATACTTTCAAAAGCTGAACTTATACTTACAAAAGCTGAACTAAGTACACAATAACTATTGAAGATCAAGAGATACTAGAAATCCTATCACATGGATAGGCTGGGATAGAAAGAGCCCATATACTTATACCTGCCATACTCTCAACAGGAAAGATTGCATCAAACTGCACTTTATGTCCTCTTGTGAGGATGTGAAGAGGGCTGGAGATTCATGCAACAGTAATTCAAGTAGGAAACTGGTGGCATCTATGTGAAAAAAAAATAGCTGCTATGTACATGTGATGTTATCTTGCCTTGAATTGCTGGCACAAATCCTGCATTCAAATGGTCATGTAAGGATGTGGGAATGTATATTTGTGTAAATGATGAAAAATATCCTTGTTTATCCTTGGCAAGCAAGGTCAGCGGAAAGAAAAGGATTTGCAGACCACAGATTAGAAATAGCTCTATTTTTATGGACTGTGGGATGGGTGCTAAATGGTATCCATTAATAAGGATGCTTTGTGTCTTATGCTCTTCACTGTACACCTGCTGTGCCTGAAGGAGTAAATGAAAGATATTAATTTATGCAGGCATTTCTGAAAAACAGGAAATAAATCTGCAGGGGGAGTCTGTGATGAAAAGCATTCCTCCCAGAACTGTCACTTTAAAAACAACCAGGTGATAATGTTTTCTGGGGCAATGCTCTCAGCACACTGAGTAGTTTCTTTCACCAGGCTGACACAGTATCTAGAAAGGAATTTTTTTTTTTTCCCTAGCACTACGTTTGTAAGAATGCATTATGGCAGTAATTTAGGTATCAAGCCCTCAGGATCTCTATGGGCCAAACGATTGACATTAATGAGATACCATTTAGGCACAGTGCTGGTTTGTCTGGCATAGTTTCTAAGACTGCGGTTTTAGTGAGCAAGCAGAAGTGACGTATCTGAAACTTCTCAGCCAGACAAATGTTATACAGAGATAGAACAAACTAACTAGTCTCTTAAATGCACCACAACACAATATAAGGGAATAATATATATAAAAGACAATTACACTCGCTGGCTGGTGAATTGTTAAACATTTAGATTGAAGGAACAAACATGTCAGGAAAGGCCTGGCAAATTAAGCAGTCTGCAAAATGCAGAAAAATCGTTCCATGTGAATACACAAGTATTGAGTTATACCTGTGGCAGAAGTACTGATGTTCTAATCTGTTCTGCACTCCCAGACAACCTTGTAGTGTAATACGGTCTTTTGGGGTCACTACAGTATCAGCAGCTTCTTCGTGCCAGAAAGTATCATTAGCTGTAAAATTTCAAATCCCTGAGTTGCTGTGCTATTATGCCTAAATTTTGAAGGATGGATTTTCTCTTCTCCATTGCTGTTAAAGGTTCTGCAAAATCTTTACTGCTTGTTTCCTCCCTACATATTTCCTCTCCTTGAAGAGACATTCTAAGATACATGTGGAGTCAAAAAATGGTTTTTTTCCAGTTCTTGCTTTTCAAGGGAGATTTTTTTCTGGCCCTTTTTCAGACTTATAATTTCTTACAATATATTTTGACCAAAAAAATTCTCACATGCATCATCCGTACTTCCCATTCACACATCCTTCTCTCATGCACTGCTGAGTAAAGCCGATATTCTTTAAGTCACTTCGTGTTGGGTTTAATTCTTGTGAAATACAGTATTTTTCTTGTGGACTAGTTTTTTTATACTATTAACCTTATTAGATTCAACTGATTTTCAAATATTAGAAGTCATACTTTGTCCTTTGCGTAACATTGTGTGAAGTGTGCTAGTTCTATTCTCCCAAGCTTAGTATTTTCATCTGAGCTTTGTTACTTTCAGTATTTAAGGCCAATAGAAGCAAATCAAGTGAAAGCAAGTAAGTTAATAAAATACTAGCATTTAGATTGAGAAGATTCAAAATATATCCAGGATACAAATACCACTGAAGTACCAGATTGAATAAATTATAAATATGATTTCTTCTACAATTGGTGGTTGATTGTATAACACATGGGGAAAAAAAAAACCAAAACAAAACAGAGTACCCAATGACCAATATGGAATACCATACTGACAATTGTAGGTGTGCAAAATCACGCATTATGACCATAGATGATCATGAGTGTAGAATGCACTTTTGGTCTCCCTCTCTTGTAAGTGTTTAGAGAAAGCAGAGAGCTAGAAAGTGGTCATCAATGTCATCTGCATGAAAGCTCAGTTTCATGTATTTCTCTGTTTGCTTCTGGGATCTGGGGTTTTAAGTAAAATTATTTAAGTAAAATCCTAAAATTTTTGTTGCATAAACTAGCAACCAGATATTTGCAATTTTATAGATATAAACATGATACCTAGAAATGTTATGTAATAATACAACCAAAAGATAGAAGTTTGCACAACTATAATGCACAATATCTGAGCAAATAGCCAGGATTATTTTAGCAGTAAAATGAAAAAAGAATTTTGTTATTTTGGTCATTATTTCCATTCACAATGTAAAACCAGCTTTATAGTTCAAAACATGTGTAAGACATAAAACCAAATCCCTGTTGACAGAATATCAAACATTTATTCATTAAATTAATTTGTTTCTTCGAAGTTAAACAATACTTTGAGAGCAGAAATAACAAAAAAACCCCAAACATTACCATCCAAGTGCTTGTGCAGGATCATCCAGGAGCACACGAATTATGTATAAGAAACAGCTTAGTAGCTTGAGAGAAAAATTGAATAATCGTATTCTCAGACCTATTTTAAAAAGCAAAGAAAATACAGAAATAAATTCAGGTTCTTTACAGTTTCATCCACTTTTAAGGTAAAACTAAAAGAAACTAGAATAGCCATTCTGCAACAGAGCAAAGGTCTGTTAATAAATCCTAGCCAGTAACCTGTCCCTGATACGAGCGACTGGCATATCGTACAGAAGAATTTAAGAACAAGCCTGTCAGATGCAACTTGCCAGCTTCCACAAATCTCTGGGTTAAGACTTGGTCTTTTGTAGTTTTACAAGTCCACTTTCTTGGCAGGGGAACCAGAACTACATATGGTATTTGAGATGCAAGATACAGTGACCGGAAGAAGATATACTTTCAACTATAGGCAGAGGATATATAATGGCATGTATTTAAATATTAATATCTGAAAGTCTTCGTGCAGTAGCTTCTCATACAGAACATATTAATACTATCCCAACTTATAAAATATTAAACTGTAGGTATTTAATGTTGAAGTTGCATAATTATGCGTCCAAGAATCAGGACATCTGAAATTCATGCTGAATGTACAACTGAATGGAATCAACAACTTGTTCTATAAACCATGTGAATATTGAAATGTTCTAGCTGAAAGGATATAATCACAAACACTATCATAATATATTACACTATTTCCCACAAACATAGGTCTACTCCACAAAGACAGGATTCTTTCAAGGGGATCCACATGGACACCTGCTTCTTTCACATGGGCAATTTATTTCAGTGCTAACTGGAGCAATTATCTACTACATTGAAACTTAACTGTATATTAATCAGATTTTGCAGTCATTAGAGGATTAGACTTTAAATTCTCAGTCTTGTTATTAAAATCAATAGTCTTAAAATTTTACCAGTGTAAATATTTGTATCTAACTCTTGGTTTTAAGCTTTTGTTCATTAATTAAGTTAAAACTGTCAGCTGACTAAGGTTAAGTGGAGGGAGGTCACTTTAAGCATTAATTTTTTTCAGTCTTGTGAACTGAGAGTCCAGTTCTGCATGGCTGAACATTTCTGTCCAAAGCAGAATACCATTGACTGAGTCTTACACTAGATGTGACTTCATTTGTACTTAGTCATAGTAAAGATAGTTATCTTTTAATGTTGTGTTGCAAATACGTTTGCAGATCTGCTGAACTTAATATAATTGCTTTCGTCATTTAAGAATTACAGCTTCATAATGCATACCCAAAGCTGTGTACATAAATTCCTTTTTAAGGAAAGAATCATAATTATGGTAATATTACATACTTTTTGACTTTACTTAATCCTAAGTTCAAAACGAACACCTTTGAGATAAAACTGATCAATCATGTTTTATATTTACTAGTTCCTCTCCCATTAAAATGTAATCACAGAAAACGCCAACACAGAAAAATAGAAAATAGATTCTTAAATATTCTACCATGCAATTGCTGAAAGAAATCTTGAGGTTTATCAAACAACACTGCTTACTACTTTTAACTGTGAAGTTGTAGTTATCATATGAGAACTGGATGGACTTTTACAACGTCTTGTCATCTGCAAACTACGGGTTAAAATCCTGTGGTCCCGACTGTATGAAGTCCCACAGCTGTTACTGGCAATTAGGTTTGTGAACATTAACTAGTGATTCCTGCTTTTTTTTTTGTCCTATCAAGAGTAATTAGCCACAGACTATTTATTCCCCAACATGAGTGAAGGGGTTGAAGTAGTAAATGGATTGAGAGGCTGTAGAAAGTAGGTAAGTGTGGTCTCATGCTATTATTTGACTAGGCAGAACCCCTGTGCTTTTCTTGGACAATGCTATGATTTTTTTTTTTTGCAGGTTTTTTTTTTTAACTGTTGCTGAAGAAAACATGAATTGTTTGTCTGTACTAACCCTTTTGTGAAAGTCTGCTGGAGTATGAATGGTTGCTGTAACAACTAGGCTATTACAACAAGAAGAGCAGATAATGTTAAAAAAACTCCAAACAATCAAAATAACTCCCCCAAAATAACTAACCCCAAACAAGCATAGAAAGCTCACCAGGGTTTCTTTTCCTTACCAATTATTGTTGTGTTGTCTAACTTTTTCTTAGATAACTACAAAAGTCTATTGCTTGTCTCTTCTGGTTTTTAGCTCTGTAAATCTTAATCTTGGTGTGAACACTTCTTCTCTATATTGATACTGGCCTAGTTTCTAATTGTCATGTGAAATTATATGCTGGTTTGAATGCCAAAAGAAAATGGTGCTTTTCTGATTAAAAACTACATCAATACAAGGGACTCATGCTCCTGGCTGTTGCCTTAAGCTCTTATGTTAGAGAACTAAGATTTGAGAGTTCTAGAACTACTTAAGTATCAAATACATAGGTCACAGATCTGTTCCAGGCTATGCCTAGAAGTGCTTCAGGCTCTGGATATCTCCACAGGAACGGTTGTTTCCTGCAGGCAGGGTTTTCATACCAGACATGTTTTCATCTAAGGGTTCTAGTTAGCATAGATATAGATTGCATATCATGGACTAGGTTATATATAAAATAAGGCAATAGGATAGGTCTTGTACTATATGTGATTGGGTCAGTTATTACAATATAAATATGGAAGAACAGGCTTCAAGTCTGTGCTGTTTCAAAAGGTCACCTCTCCTAGCTCTACATGCCTCAGCCTTTAGAAACAGGATGTGCTGTCAGGAGGAGCATATTTAGTCACCTCTGCTAAAGCTTTAATAATTAATGTAGGACTACTAAATAAGTATTCTCTCTAGTCAAAATATTCTGTAGCATTATAGTTGGGGATATCACCTGTGAGTTGGAAGAAATGCATTTATTCTATTATCATGGAGATCTAGGATTTCAAATATGGGAAGGTAGGAACAGTTGCTAGAGACAGCATTTAAAATAGGTTTTTCTTTATTACTCTGTTATAAAGAAAGCTTCTCATATTTCTGTTTGGCTGACTATTTTTATCCTCTATTTTACATACTGTCAGTGGATCAACATGGTCTGCTTGACTTAATTTCTTTTTTTTTTTTCATTCACAGCCAGATTGTTCAAGGAGCAGGGTCATTTGCACAAAATATCTCTGTTTTGACACTGGTGCCTGAAAATTGTATTCAGCTACATCAATCATATGCTATTATTCAGTTATGTATTATTTAATAAGATTGGAATTTCACTGCGTCCATGTAACCATGGTGTTACATCTTTTGTCTTTTTTAAAAGATGAAATCGATAATGACAGTTCAAAATCTGTTTGTTTTGTGAAATAAATATAACTATGTCAAATGTTAATGTTTCCTTCTTGGTTTGAACAAGTATTTGCCATTTCTTGCAGGCATTTTTAAGTACACTGTGATACATTATACTTCACCAGGACTGACTGACTTTCATTTTTATTATAAATTCTTGTTGCTTCCCTTACAAGCATTTTTGGAGATTAATTCTCTGATTTAGAGAGCTGATCTAAATCAAAGCAAGATAGCAACTAAAGATTTTACAATCAACTTCCCATTATTCCTTTCTCATAAGTCTCTAACATATGTTTGGTTTTTTAGCAAAATCATCTCAGCAGTTGGCTTTAGGAGTTGGATCAAAATATACTGTTAATTTATATCTTGGTGATGGTTATCTTTTATTCCTTCTCCAGTGAATTGAAATTTCACTTTTTCCCTTTGAGACTTATTTTAGGCTGTGATAATGCAGTGTGTGATCTTGGCAAGTACAAGCAAGTCATACCAGTATGTCATCTTTTTCTCTCTTTTTTTTTTTTGGGGGGG